TGAAAAATCTGCCGAAGTGCCCTTGAGCAAGGGACTTACATTTACATTTTAGTCATTTAGCAGACGCTCTTATCCAGAGCGACTTACAGTTAGTGCATATATAACTTTTTTTTTTTCTTTGTTAACCCCCCATGGGAAACGAACCCACAACCCTGGCGTTGCAAACACCATGCTCTACAAACTGAGCTACATCCCCTGCCGGCCATTCCCTCCCCTACCCTAGACGACGCTGGGCCAATTGTGTGCCGCCCCATGGGTCTCCCGGTCACGGCCGGCTGCGACAGAGCCTGGATTCGAACCAGGATCTCTAGTGGCACAGCTAGCACTGCGATGCAGTGCCTTAGACCACTGCGCCACTCTGGAGTATTTTTCTCCAAGGGTGCTTTACTACTATGCCTGACCCTGTAAAACACATTTCACTGCACCTATCCAGCGTATGTGACAATACAACATCTTATTATCTTATTTGTCAAATAAAGTTGTTGTACCATGATATGTCCACTAGATGTCAGTGCTCCATGTGTCGTAATGTAATAATGGTGTGATAATTCCAGAACATATCTGACCCTGTATCAGGATTCAGGGGCAACTACCTGAAGCTGAGGGTAATAAAGGCTGGTAGGTAAATAGCACCATCTGGTAGTGATCAGGAGTATGGCAGCGAGATGGCAGCGAAATAGCTTACCCCCATGTGAAGACCATTAATTAACCAAAACGCGAATGGTGCAGTCGGACCCTTCTCTGCATGCCATTCTACATGCTATGCATGAGCAATACCAGTATGTGGCAGCTCGATTGATCATGATCTTACTCAGATTTATATTCAATCAAATATGGACTTGATTTCCATTTCTGTCATATTGTGATTATTTGTTATAATGGAGCTGGAGCTGAATGGACACCTATACTTTTACTTTCCACACATTTTAAACAGCTACATTCTTGACCTTTGTGAAACGTATTTTATGTCGCATCTCATAACAGATACAGATTTTTTTTATCACACCATTGATTCACATTTGGGAGGGGGTTGTAAACTAGGTGGTCGATATCAGACGTCTTTATTTATCAAGAAAAGTGTATACCACTAAATATTGTAAATCTTTAAAAGATAGCCTACTGTTTTCAACAAAGTTGTAACTAAATGACCCGTAAAAACCAATATAGAGAATAAAAACATTCAGAAAAATACCCCTTGTCTATTTTTTGAAACATCCCAATTAGGTTCAGCAAGTGCTTTGGGCGTGACGTTTTGACAGTCATTAGTTTCAACTTATTTTCGTGCACTTGAAGCGGGGAAAGTTTGCGCGGCAGTGTGTTTAATTTATTCTGTTTTAACGGTTTTAGAAATGGTGAGTAGCTAGCTAAGTCTGTGTTTTGACAATGATATAACCACAATATGTATATCTGTTAGCGAACTAATGAATTAATTGCCCGGCCTCGACTACATCTAGTGAACAGTTTGCTGAGAAGCAGATAGCTAACTGTGATATTTTTTCGCTGTCCTATTTCTCGCACAAGCGAGCTGAAGTTCACTGACGTTAGCGAACTTGTAAGTTACAAGTATAACATTTCTAGGTCATTAGCTTAAATACTAACTAGCATGCTTGATTAAACCAGCTGATATGCCAGTTTGTTACTAGGTTAACCATGTTTATAACTAGCTAGGTAGTTGACATGGCTAGCTGCCAGCTATGTCTGGTGGTTGCCTCGTGCCTCCTGTCCTAGCTAGCCACAGCCCAGACACTCAGATATAATCGTTCATAAGCTGCTTAGGCATCTAGTTGATTTGTCAAAATTGTAGCTAGTACAGATGAATAATAATAATTTGTTATAATCAGTTTTTCTATTAGCTAAGTGGTTGGGAACTAGCTACCTAGCCGGAAACTGGCAGACAATGACAATATCCTGATTGCTGAAATATAAGTGGATTGTGCTCAGTCAGGATTGTCTACGATTTCCCGCTTGCCTTTTTGAAATTGGAGTGATTGAGCTCACCCATGATACTAGCTAGCTAACTCCTTTAATCTGTGACTAAGTTAGCTAGGTCAGTAGATTATCAATCTCAGGGGTATTCAAATACAATTTGAGAAGGTTCTGTCACACATATTTCCAAAGTGGGAAAGGTCCTGATAGAATAGATATTGTCATTTATCGGTGCTCTAGTACAGCATAGTAAACACACTTTTACTATTGTCCATATTATGATTTGGGATACATGGTTTTATATCAAATGTTTTCAGGACTAGTATTAAATACATTAAAGGAGACCAATCAGATACATTTTAATGAATTACAAACAACTTCTTTATTTTGACTGTGAACATGTGCATTGTACAGGCTGTGCTGTAGTAGTAAGTAGGCTAATACTATTTGTCATGCTGCTTCAAATACATTTAAGAAATTAGTACAACAAAGTATTTAAAAAATGAATGGTTTCTCTTTTTACGAAAATATAATAAAGTGCACATTTGTGACATTGCTGAAGAACAAAAGTGGTTGCATAGTAATCTGTATGCAAAAATGTCACTGAGCCAATGTACATGAGCCTTGCATTTCTCTTAATTTAATAAATAATGAACTAAAGTGCACGTTTTATGGAGAACAAAGGAGAGTCCAATAGAAAATAACATCTGAGTGCACAGAATGTGTTCCATGCATGCACAAGTCACTCTGGGCCTTGCATCACAGACTAATGAGATAAATGACAGTAGTTTTTCTCCTGCCAATACTTTGACCTTTGGCAAGAAATTGTGAGTGCAATTCTAAGACACTGGTGCAGGTGTTCATTGGTGAGCCTGGTGCTGTATTTGGTTTTACTCATGTTCATTGTGGAGAAGGCTGACTCTCAGCAGTATGTGGAACCAAACATGGTCAGGATGTGTAGTGCCATTTCGTTTAGAACAGGGAAACCAGCTGCAGGCACCATCTTTCCCCAGAAACTGACAGGGTCACAATCACCAACCTGCTCTTTCAAAGCCACAGTTTCTTGCAGTTCAATCAACTCCATTTGTAGTGATACAACATTTACCCTTCTGAAGGTCTGTTTTGCTTCCTCTGAAAACTCTGTGACATTTGTGACCAAGAAGGGGTTCTGTATGAACAGCAGCAGATGTCATCAAAGCGAGCCTTGAAGGTATCCATCAGCTTCGGTATGAAACCACCATGATGGGGCACATCTTTCTCTCCATGGGATTGCTCCAAAAGTTTGGAGAAGTGGACAAGTTCTCCCTTGGAGATCAGTCTTGAAAATCTCAAATTTCCTTTCGAAAGCCTGGACTGCTGTTATCAAATCACACACTGTTGTTCTGTCCCTGCAGCTTAACATTGAGCTCATTAAGATGTGATGTAATGTCTGCCAAAAATGCAGCTGTTTGCATTTTCTCCACATCTTCCAAAAACTCTGTAAACTGAGTTGCCTTTTCACTCTTTTGCTCTGATAGGAAAGATTTAATCTCCTCCCGAATGGCCCAAAAGCGCTCCAAAACCCTGCCTTAGCTGAGCCATCTGACATTGTTGTGCAGTAGTTAGTCTTCATAGCTGGCATTAACCTCTGTCAGAAAGCCTCATAGTAGACGATGCTGTAGGGATGATGATGCTCTCAAAAAGTTTATCAGTTTCATCATTGTTGTCATGACCTCAGCATACACTTCTCCCAGACTGGCACACAGGACAGATTGGTTGATGATGCCGTGGGAAGATGTCAGGTCAGGGCGGTCCTCTTTCAAACGTGCAACCAGTCCCCTCCCTCTTCCTATCATCGCTGGAGCTCCATCTGTGGAGATGGAGACCACTGACTTCAGATCTATCCCCCTTTTTGTCAGCATCCCTTTGATGGCCTCATGAATGTCCTCTTCTCATGTGTGTGCTTCAAGAGTTGTTAAACCCAACAGGTCCTCACAGAATTCATTTTTTGTTTTGTCATCAAATCTCACAAATACCAGAAGCTGGGCATTATCGGGGGTATCTGTTGATTCATCCACAGCTAAAGAAATGCATGGTGCTTTCTGAATGGCGTCATCAAGTTGTGAAATCACATCTTCAGCTAATATTTAAATTATTCTCATTGCTGTAATATCTGACAGTGGGATCTGTTTTGATATTTTCCTTCAGCTCATCTTTGTTTACCATCAAGCAAGGTCTCAACAACTTCACTCATGCATTCTTAAACCATCTCTGCGTCAGTAAATGGCTTTTTGCGTTTTCCCAAAACCCAAGCTATTCTCAGTGAGCACTCCATTGCACGTTCTTGGGCTGTCAGGGAATGCACAATAACTTGTGGACCTCGCATACTGGGCTTTGAGCGATGTGTTTTTCTCGTTCTCACCACTGTGTTTTGTGTCGTAGTGGCGCTTCACATTGGCACTTTTTACGAGTGCTACAGACTGAGCATATCAGGCACATTGGTTTTGAACTTGTTGCGGGGAGAATGAGTGCGTGATTGTCTGTCCACTAGTCTTTGAAAATGCGAATTTTGCTATCAACTTTTATTTTCTTTGAACAAGCCATCCTCACATTCACAATGTCTATTGATGGACGTATTTCCGTGTGTCTGCCTGCTGCTTGCGCCCAGTCCCAACACCGTCTTTCACTGTCGAAGATATATGCAAATATTTATGCGATTTGATGAGACGCGGCTCTCTTCATGAGACTAATTTGCATAAATGCACGCGATTGGATAGGACGCGGCCCCAGGCTGGTGTTTCTTCACCACGCTAGAGACAGAGAGCGGCTGCGCTGCGCTTGGGAAACGGCACCCGGTCAATCATGTTTGAAAGCTGTCTGAAATTAATTTACGGACTCCACCATTTGAGAGTGACTGCTCTATCTGATGATGACTGACGCCTACTCTGATACTGGCTACAATAGATGCCTACAGTAGTTAAGTTAGTTAATATCTTTCTGCCAAATTCAGCAGGTTGTTGTGGTTGCTTGTAGGAAAGTGCCAGGCAACTGAAGTGGTGACCAATGAAATATTTACTTTACTCTCTTTATTCCAGGATATTCAGAAACAGAGAAACGGATTTCAGACGTCCCCAAATTTGAAGCTGTCAAATGGTTATATTTTACCTGAAGGTAGAATGACACCAAACACGCTTTTTGTCGGAGGAATCGATATGAAGGTGAGTAGCTAACTGCTATAGTGTATATTCTTGTGTTCTTTTTTTACTGGCATTGCAAATGTGGATTTAAAAAATATATATAGATTTACCGTTGACACCTGCTGTATCCTGTGCAAGGGACAAATCAACTTTGATTTTATTTGTTATTATGCAGAGCCTCCTCCATATGGGGAGGTTATTTTGTCTGTGATTAAGTGTACTTTGGAGGGGGTGAGAATGTTTCAATGGGATAGTCTCTGCTTCATTTGGCCAGTTCACTGGAATGAAACTGATCCTAAACCAAAAATAATTCCCTAATGGATCCAATAAAGTCAATATCTAACTTGCTCATATTGCCCTTTTTTTTTAGGTGGATGAGAATGAAATCCGGGACTTCTTTGCGAGATTTGGCGCTGTGAAGGAAGTGAAAATCATCACTTACCGTGGAGGCATCTGCAAAGGGTGAGTCCCAAATTAGTAGGCTTTAGTCAAGACAATTGGATTCATGCAAATAAACCTTGCCTTATATGGAACAATGTCATTCTTTGTGTAGATATGGATTTGTCTACTTCAATGAAGACGTCGACATCCAAACCATCGTTGAAGTAAGACCATTTATTTTAACGTGGTCGCATCTTAAATGGAGTCAAGTCTTTAAAACTTTACCTTCGTTCTACTCACAAGCTTAATGTGTTTTGTCTTCACCATGTTTACTCTGCAGCAACAGATCAGTTTTAAAGGGCGGAAACTCAAGCTGGGTCCAGCCATCATGAAGGAAAGGATCTCACGTGAGTGTGTGTTGCTTCACTTGTGTTCATTTTGTCCATCGATATCTGTGTTTGTAGTGGCTATTTATTCCTTGTCTTTTGAACTCTGTTGCCACTGCTGAAGTCTGGGTTGTGGCTAAACGTGTTCCAGGTCGACTACATTGCAGAAGTTGCATTGCATCAACCAATGGTGGCGTGCCAGGTCATCGACTGCAGTCAGACAGCAAATTGCTACATCAAATGATGTGGTTAACTGACCACATCTAGGCATTGTGAGATCTGGCATTTTGTTTTTGTTTGCCCTGCCCAGGTTCCATGCCGTCTCAACTGGTTGGTCAGGTCCCCTGGATGAGCCCCTCCCAGTACATCTACTGCACCTGCTGCTCTCCTATGGGAGTGGGCGTGGCTCAGCCCTCACCTGTACTCAACGGGGGCAATCCCTACATCCAGGTATGGCACTGACATCACCCCAAAGCCACTGGTTGTCTCCCAAATTACACCCTATTCCCTATATAGTACACTACTTTTGACCAGGTCCCAGGGTGCCTTTAAGAACGCAGACACTGTGTTGGAAGATGGGCTTGAAATAGTTCACACTTTTGGACTAATAGTGGTCCCAAAAGTGCACCAACCCAAACCTGCCAACCGTGTTCAGTAGGCAAACATTGTGGAACGTTGCAGATAGAAATGTCCTGAATAGAGCTGATGGGATTCCTTATTCTACTTATCAGAAGCATGTTTTTTCTACATAACGTTCCACCACGTTCTGCTCTGCTGAACATGGCCCAAGAAAACTACACAAGTGCTCCTAAAATTACACCAGATTGACAGTTGACCATCTTAAATCTTCCGCTGAGGGAAGAGACTTTTATATATTTGATGTTCCTCTTTTCTCAGCCTTACTCGTACAACGGCCTTCAAGGAGTCATAATGCCACAGATGCCCGTGAGCTACTCACAAACCGCCTATGCGTACCAGGTAAACACAGGCAGAGAACGTATTCATTGAATAACTTTATTGTTCCCTGGAGAAGTCCTAGTGGCATTTGGTATGAAAACACACAAACAACATGACACATTCAGCATCAACAATATAATATACTAAACTAATATACGTGGGTGATATGCTAGATGCATAGACCACCCACACACATCTGACATACTGTACCATAGCAAACACACTCCCACCTGTTCTTCTCCCCCATATTCCCAGTGGAGGAATAAAAGGATGCTAGTGTGTTCCTGTATGTCTGACCTTTAACACTCTGCTCTCTCCTCCTCTCCCAGTACGCCTCACCACACTGGACCGGGGAGCAGAGGACACGGCTCGTCAACCAGGTGACACTCACTTCCTCTGAATGACTGTCTACCTTTTGCTAACTGTTAAGAATGCATTACCAAATATGTTATTTTATTTGAACTGATTGGAATAGCTGTAGCTCTGCAGATGTGACCTATTTGTACCGTCTGGATTGTGTCAGCTGGTCAGGTAATGGCTACTGGGTGACAGTGTTTGGTGAAGCTTACATTGTGTTGGTGTGAGTGCTTTGAGCGGACAGACAGTACCATCTGCCAGTGTGTATCAGTACTTGCAGTAATGTGTTGGCTAAAGATGACTGTGATTTTCTCCACGGGTGTTTTTGCTGTAGTAGTTCCGGTGTTGAGGTTCACTGTGGTTGTTTCAGCCGGCTCATTATGTGATGTGATGTGGTGCCCCGTTTCCAGAACTTTGTGGACTGTGAAGTCCAGACTCTCCTGACTCTGCTCTAGTCCACAGCCCACTGACCCTCCTGTACCAGGTGAGCACACACACACACACTCTGACCCTCCTGCTAGACACACAAATGACTCAAGAAAGAGCCCGATAGTCACACTGTGTAAAAAAAATAATAATAAAAAAAAGACAGCGAGTGCCTGTGTGACTGGCGCACGTTGTCTCTCTCTCCTCCCTACTGCAGCCAAAAGGCACCACAGCACAGCAAGTGTTTATTGCGCTGTCCATGCTGAAGCTGCAACATCATTTCAGCCATTTAGTTTCTTATATATATCTGACTGAAACGTGGGATCATCAACTAGATTCAGCCACGGGCCAATTTCTTCTTGAGCGGATGGCCGGGGGGCCGTAACATAATAAAAAAACATTTTTAGACTGCAAATTGACAGAATGAAGCCCAAACAGATGTAACATTTGACTAAAACATAAGCATTTCAAACCGTGATTACATTTGGGGACATTGCACTGCGTAGGGTGTGGTCTTTCGGATGGGATGTTAAAACGGGTGTCCTGACTCTCTGTGGTCTATCAAAATCCCATGGTGCTTATTGTAAGAGTAGGAGTGTTCACCCCAGTGTCCTGGCTAAACTCCCAACCTGGCCACATTCCATCATGGCCACCTAATCATCCCCCTCATTCCTACTTGGCATATACAGTTGAAGTCGGAAGTTTACATACACTTAGGTTGGAGTCATTAAAACTCGTTTTTCAACCACTCCACAAATTTCTTGTTAACAAACTATAGTTTTGGCAAGTCAGTTAGGACATCTACTTTGTGCATGACACAAGTAATTTTTCCAACAATTGTTTACAGACAGATTATTTCACTTATAATTCACTGTATCACAATATATTTATTTCATCACATTCCCAGTGGGTCAGAAGTTTACATAAACTCAATTAGTATTTGGTAGCATTGCCTTTAAATTGTTTAACATGGGTCAAATGTTTTGGGTAGCCTTCCACAAGCTTCCCACAATAAGTTGGGTGAATTCTGGCCCATTCCTCCTGACAGATCTGGTGTAACTGAGTCAGGTTTGTAGGCCTCCTTGCTCACATACGCTTTTTCAGTTCTGCCCACAAATCTTCTATAGGATTGAGGTCAGGGCTTTGTGATGGCCACTCCAATACCTTGACTTTGCTGTCCTTAAGCCATTTTGCCACGACTTTGGAAGTATGCTTGGGGTCATTGTCCATTTGGAAGACCCATTTGCGACCAAGCTTTAACTTCCTGACTGATGTCTTGAGATGTTGCTTCAATATATCCACATAATTTTCCTTCCTCATGATGCCATCTATTTTGTGAAGTGCACCAGTCCCTCCTGCAGCAAAGCACTCCCACAGCATGATGCTGCCACCCCTGTGCTTCACGGTTGGGATGGTGTTCTTTGGCTTGCAAGCGTCCCCCTTTTCCTCCAAACATAACGATGGTCATTATGGCCAAACAGTTCTATTTTGTTTCATCAGACCAGAGGACATTTCTCCAAAAAGTACGATCTTTGTCACCATGTGCAGTTGCAAACCGTAGTCTGGCTTTTTTATGGCGGTTTTGGAGCAGTGGCTTCTTCCTTGCTGAGTGGCCTTTTAGGTTATGTCTATTTTGTTTTACTGTGGATATAGATACTTTTGTACCTGTTTCCTCCAGCATCTTCCGTTTGCTGTTGGTCTGGGATTGATTTGCACTTTTTGCACCAAAGTACGTTAATCTCTAGGAGACGGAACGCGTCTCCTTCCTGAGCGGTATGACGGCTGCGTGGTCCCATGGTGTTTATACTTGCGTACTATTGTTTGTAAAGATGAACGTGGTACCTTCAGGCATTTGGAAATTGCTCCCAAGGATGAACCAGACTTGTGGAGGTCAACAACAAAAACATTCTGAGGACTTGGCTATATTTCTTTTGATTTTCCCATGATGTCAAGCCAAGAGGCACTGAGTTTGAAGGTAGGCCTTGAAATACATCCACAGGTACACCTCCAATTGACTCAAATGATGTCAATTAGCCTATCAGAAGCTTCTAAAGCCATGACATCATTTTATGGAATTTTCCAAGCTGTTTAAAGGCACAGTCAACTTAGTGTATGTAAACTTCTGACCCACTGGAATTGTGATACAGTGAATTATAAGTGAAATAATCTGTCTGTAAACAATTGTTAGAAAAATTACTTGTGTCATGCACAAAGTAGATGTCCTAACCGACTTGCCAATACTATAGTTTGTTAACAAGAAATTTGTGGAGTGGTTGAAAAACGAGTTTTAATGACTCCAACCTAAGTTTATGTAAACTTCCGACTTCAACTGTATATATAAAGCCTATCTTACAGCAGACTAAAAACAGTTGCATGCATTCGTGAATTGCGGTTTATTTATTGTTTAGGTTAATTATTCAAAGCTTGCTGTATTTAATTTTAAAACTAAAATGCTTGGTTACATTTCAAAGCATTAATGTCTCGTATGCTGTGTGAAGTCATTAACTAATGATTGATTGGTTGATACAGTAGCCTATATTGAAACATAGGCCTAAGTAAGTTACCGTATTAAGACTAAACAGGACGCGCTCTTAGGCCTACAGCTCAATGGTGGTTATACAAGGCTACTATACTAAGCCTACTAATGATACTTATTATAATAATAATGATCATAATAGTAATAATAACAATAAGGAGATAGAAAAAGGAGGGTATAGGAGCGAGAGCTGTGTGTATATTATGTGTGACAAACAGGTGCTGATAGATTACAATATAATCTTTCTGCCTGTTTGGAACAGTGTAAACACTAAATAAATTATAAGTAATACCAGTCTGTTCTAACACACTTTTTTAAACGCCTTTATTACACCATAGCAAAGATTACAAACAGCCGAATCTGTGAAATTGCTTTATCCGACATTTTGCCGATGCATGAGGCTTGGCGCTCACGGAATCAGTAGGCTATCAAACAAACACTCAAACAGGCAACAGAAGCAGGATCGGTCTTATTTCTGTAGATGTATATGGATGATTTACAAAGCTAGGCACATTTACCAGTTAGGCTATTGATTAGACCTAATTAAGTTGGTTTCCTCGCTCCTCAATTTTCTTAGACAATTAGGCTAAGGCAAGAGCTGTTTTCTCATCTCTGCTGCTGCTGCCTTCACCGCATTGTTCTCAATCCCAATATGCTGGCTAACTTTGCTATTATGCACATAGCAACATGGGGAAAGGTGCCAATTCTACGGCGCACTGAAGATCCAACGCGGGAGAAAGCGCATTTGTTATAAAATATTAGATGTATTAGTGTTGCACCATTATTTTTACATAATATAACCATATACAATTTCAGTATCACATGTCTTAGAGTGATGGACTGTGCCATCCGTGTGGCCTCTGCAATGGAATAGTCCACTGAGACGGGTGCGAATCAGACGGGTGTCTTCTGCACCGTGAAAAAATTATTGCGACTGCTCGGCCTAAAGAAGTCTCGGTCGTCCAACAGCCTATCGCCCAAACAATCGACCAGTCAACAAAAGGGGGTCAGCCCTAGTGAGCGCGTGCACACTGACCCTCCCGCTGTACCAGGTTGATCACACACTCCATTCTTCTTTCTATTTTGTCTTTCCCTGTCCTCTCTCTGACCTCCACTTTTCTGTCTCTTATTTCTCTCAGCCCTTTCTATACATCTTTCCTTTCTCCTCTGTGGTCTCTGACCATCTCTTCATTGTTCTTACAACTCATCTCAACTGTTCTCTCCCTCCAGTCAATTCTACTCACAAAGAATTGAGTAATTTTTGATTGTGGCGCAAGTGTTGACTCGAACGCTCAATAGTGAATTGTCTGCAGTTTTTTTATGAAGCATTGTCTGTCTGTGGATTGTCAAGGATGATGACAGAATCTGTCCATCTTGAAGAACCTCTTCTATCATCTTTCCTCTAGTTGTCAGACTGTGTGGACAGTCCTAGTATCTTCATTTGTCTTTCCACGATTCCTCGCTTCTTTCTCAACCATATTGGAAGAGATGGACCAAAGGTCCTTCTCCAATGCAATTTGAGGAGAGCGGATGCGAGGGATCGAGAAAAGACAGACTGGGAGAATCTCGCGTCCTCTCTCGCCTACTTCTCAACCCATTGACTTGGACGATCAGAGGGGATGGACCTCTGACCGTCTCATTCAATGGGTCTTGAGAAGGTGACAGGACGCGAGGAATCAAAGAAATGCAATTAAGATTCTCCCATTGAAAAAGCCCTATAATCCTAGCTGATGGTTGAATGAAGTCTTTCTTCTGTCCACCACAGGGGGTGACGTGCGCCAGTCTGCGCGGAGACAACATGACATCCTGGCCTTTTGGAGCGCTGGAAGCAACACAAACTTAAATATACATTTCCAGGATGCTTTCTCTCCCTCTCTCCGACATCCCTCCCTCCCTCGCTCGCTTTGAGACCCATTTTAACACACCGACCGTGGCAGCTCAACACTTGCACCTGATGGGCGTGGTCACTGTGACTGTGCTCCGTGATTGACTTGGCTAGGACCACGGTCCTGGGGTTTGGACCGCTTTTAAACCACCTCAACCACTGTCACGTAGGGAAGG